GAGGAGGGGGGAGAGGTGGGGGTGGGGTGGGGGGAGGAGGTGGGTTTGGGGGGAAGGAGGTGGGGTGGGGGGAGGAGGTGGGCCTGGGGGAGGAGGTGGGGTGGGGTGGGGTGAGGAGGTGGGGGTGGGGGGTAGGTGGGTTAGGAGTGGGGTGGGGGGAGGGGGGTGGGGGGAGAGGTGGGGTGGGTGGGAGGAGGTGGGATGGGGGAGGAGGTGGGGGAAGGAGGAGGAGGAGGTGGGGTGGGGGGGAGGTGGAAGGGAGAAGGGCTGAGGTTGGGGGGTGGGGGTGGGGGTGGGGGGAAGAGCCGCTTTTGGGAGGTGAGGGGAAGGAGATGCGGGAAATGGCGGGGAGATGATGACCGGCGGTTTGGGGATGGGCGGGAAAGAGGGAGGGAAAAATGGAGGAGGAGAGAATAAGTGGAATGGGGAGGTATAAAGGATGCATAAAAACACGGGAGGTGGAGAGGAGAAAGGGGGGAGGAAGAGGCNAGAGAGAGAGAGAGAGAGAGAGGAGAGAGAGAGAGAGGAGAGAGAGAGAGAGAGAGAGAGAGAGAGAGAGAGAGAGAGAGAGAGAACGAGAGAGAGAGAGAGAGAGAGAAGAGAGAGAGAGAGAGAGAGAGAGAGAGAGAGAGAGAGAGGAGGGAATTATTATCAGTATCATCATACATACTGGTGATTTTTGCTGTTGTTAGTGACTTTTTACTTATTACTATCAACATCTAATATTGACATTGTTATTGCTGTTGTGATCAATAATATCTTGATCATATTAGAGACCAATTTTTTCTCAAGGAGTCTCCAAAAATGGCAGATCACGTGATATATCTTTTTGGATATTGATGTCTTATATTTTGGGAGGATTTTTACTTCCTTAAATTCCATTGTCCATATGCATAATCTTATAAAGTAAAATCAGCCATAGTATTCATATATAAAGAAAAAAAGAAAAGAAAATTGAATTGACTGTGGCTAAAATTATCTATTAGAAACCTCGAAAATTAACCTTAGTAGATAACTTTAAGTGTATCTTTCTTTTTCTCTCGGTCTGCATGAAAAGCCCAACTGCAGATATAAAAAACAACAACTAAAAACTAAAAGTAAAAAAAAATCCTTGATACATCTAAATAAAAGAATAGAGAAATAGGATGAAAATAGAAGCCTCTAGATAAGCAGACAGAATTGACTCTCAAGTTGATTATAAAACACCGAAATCTATCATCAGAGATTCTCAACACTGCGCATCCACGTTTTCCTTTAACTTCTACCCATTTTCTGTGATAAATAGATCTGTTTATTTCTTATACCTGCGAACATGAGAATTAATAAAAACACGCATATATATATATATATATATATATATATATATATAATATATATATATATATATATATCAATATATATATTCACACACACCAAAAAGCAGCTTACTGTGCACCAAGAATAAATCAAACATTGAAAGTTAAACATTGAAAAGGAGCCATAATAGTTTATTGAACAAAAAATGTATTTTTAAAGAACAGAACTAACTAACAGGTAACCTAACCTCCATTAAACTGATTTAATATAAACTTTATGTAAGAAAACGAAATTTGGAGTCTCCTGGTCAAATTTGAGCTAACCTAACCTAACCTAACCTCACCAAATTCCAGCTAATGTAACCTAACCTCTTAAACTGAATTAATATAAACCTTATGTAAGAAAACGAAATTTGGAGTCTCCTGGTTAAATTTGAGCCTAACCTAATCTAACCTAACCTCACCAAATTGCAGTTAATGTAACCTAACCTCCATTAAACTGATTTAATATAAACCTTACGTAAGAAACGAAATTTGGAGTCTCCTGGTCAAATTTAAGCCTAACCTAACCTAACCTAACCTAACCTAACCTAACCTCACCAAATTGCAGTTAAAACACAGAAAACTATCATAAAAATTCTCAATACAGGGCTTCCCCGTTTTCTTTTAAAATGTACCCATTTTCTGTAATCATAAAAAGTTATCGTGCATTTGCAGTGCCAGCAAACATGAATAAAGAAGCAACGAAAATAAATCAAAATGATTTACAGCACAGCTAAAAAAAAAAAAAAAAAAAAAAAAAAAAAAAAAAAAAAAAAAAAAAAAAAACGCAAACATCTAAAGAAACATTTTAAGCATTTACCGATAGTATGTTTTTTTTTGTTTTTTTTCACATACACGCACAATATATAAACACACACACATGTATAATAGAACTCTTATCTGTATAAGATTATAATGATAATATTAATAAGAATAAGGATGATGATGATGATGGCAATGATAATAATAATGATAATAATGATAATGATGAAAATAACAATAACAAATGATAACAGTAATGATAACAATGACAATATTTAATTAACAATTATTCACAATTACACAGTAACAACAATGTTACTTATAAATAATAACGGCAGTGACAACCCTACTAATATTAAATATTTTATATCTGTACCGCATCTCCTTTTATATTTCTTGATTATCGGTCTTATCAATTCTTGTTGGCTGGTACACAGTAACCTGCTCATCACAGAAAATGGCAGAATTAATAGGAAAACGGGGAAGCACACTGTTGAGATCCTTCTATGATACATTTTCGCGTTTTAAGGTCCATTCTATCTTTGTCGAGTTTTATCTTAAATTTATTGAGCCACCACAGCACTTTGGTGGAATCTCCATTCAAGTTAGGATTCGGCTGAGGAAGAAAGAAACAAGAAGAGCAACGGGGGAGAAAAAGAAGAAAAAAATTAGGTGCAGAAGTTTGGGGATTCGAACTCGCCACCTCTGCTGGAGGGAACTGCAGCGTGTTGGTACTAGTTATACAGACAACAGCAAGGTGGCAGCACTGGTCAATAATGCCCCAACGGTTAATGAAAAAAAATCGATTCCCGGCAAATGACCTACTCAAATATTGCTTATGATAATTTTAATGATGATAATAATAGTAATAAGGATCGTGAGGATAACGGGAAGGGTAATAGAATAATAATGATAACAATGATGATATTAAGGATGATAGTGATGACAATCATTGAAAAAACAACAATAATAATACGGAAAAAAATAACTCATGATGGGGCGTGATGTAGCGAAGGAGATGGAGGATAATAATTATAATAATAACGATAATAGTACTAATGGTAATGATAATCACAATCATTAAAACTCTTTCTCTCTCTCTCTCTCTCTCTCTCTCTCTCTCTCTCTCTCTCTCTCTCTCTCTCTCTCTCTCTCTCTCTCTCTCTCTCTCTCTCTCTCTCTGTGGTCGTTAAAAAGAAAAAACAGTATCTGTCTAGTCAAAAATAAATTTTATATTTTGAACATGTGGGACGATGCCATTCTTTTATATCGAAAAGTTTCTATAAATCAAAGAGAATAGGCCATAAAAACCTGTTACCGAGACATAAAGCCCAAGATTAAAGCATAAATGATGTATGAAAAACAGTAACAAGCCTTACATGACATATCGCATAAAAATGTACACATACGAAAGATAAACCTGAACCTCGCTCTTCTTAGCCGTAGCCCTATTAATACGAAAGCATATAAAGCTTAAACTCTATGTTGTTATATATGGTAATAGTGTATATTTTAATATTATATTTCTGCATATATATGTGTGTGTGTATATATATACATATATATATATATATACATATATATACATATACATATACATACATAAATGCATATATATGTATATGTATATATGTATATATATATATATATATATATATATATATATATATATATATATATATATATATATATATAATATATATATGCATGTGTGTATACATGTGTTTAAATATGTATGTGTGTATATATACATATACATATACATACATAAATGCATATATATGTATATGTATATATGTATATATATGTATATATATATATATATATATATATATATATATATATATATATATGCATGTGTGTATACATGTGTTTAAATATGTATATGTGTGTGTGTATACTGTATATATAGGTATGTATGTATGTACACATTTCTGTATGTATATATATATATATATATATATATATAATATATATATATATATATATATATATATATATATATATATATAAAACATATACATATATGCACGCATACACTCGCGCGCGCGCGTATATACTAATAAACTAGTACTTAGTGCAAAAATATCCTCATGGACATCATCAAAGTTACTAATATTGCACCATACTGTGCAGCATCAACTTTGAACCCCATTTTCTTCCAGTTTTAGAACGGGCAGAGGTGCTCCGCGCGCTCATCAGCCAGGTGCAGTTGCTTATATATGACTCCGCCCCCATAAATAGGGGCGGAGTCATGGGAAACTGTAGTACTACACCTCTTGGCGCCGGAAAAGGGCCTATTGTTTATGTTTTCATCTTGCTTTTCTTGACCACATTAAATCTGCTAGGTAACAAAATCATCGAACTGTAGCCATAACTAAAATAAAATTTATGCAGTATATAAATTTCATACTGATCTAATGTTTAATAACACCGTATATTGTTTTGTCATTAGACTTCTTACAGCATCCTGAACACTTTTTGTGAGATATAGGTTATTGTCTAGTTCTTTTATGATTACCTCATCTATTTCCGTTACATATCTAATCACTCTTATCTTTTTGTATGATTCATATACGTTATATATTCACACCTGCTATATGACACAAGGCATTTATCCTATTAATATTATCTTGGCATAGTATTGTCAACAGAACTGTTAATTTCTCTATTTTATTTTATTCTATCTATTAATCTTATTATTATCATTTATCATTATTATCACTATCGTTGTGACTCGTCATTATCATAGGCAAATAAGTCAATATATCTATCAACTCTGAATATCCTTACACTAAAATCCTAAAATAAAAAATAACGAAAAAATATAATAATCTTATTTAAAAAATCCCATCAGTATTATACACGCCATCCCTGTTGTTTACATCGCCTTTACTTACAAATACGTTTTGTGTATTTTGACGTTTGGAACTTGAGATTATACAGGAGTGGCAGTCTTATGTCGTCAAATATTGAGTAGGCAGTCTTCTGGTCAGAATTTTAAATGGCAATACATGTATAGAATGATATATACGTTTTTTTCATATATTAATGTAGGTAAAATATGAACAGTAAGTGTGTTTTGAACAGTAGTGTCAAGTACTAGGTGCTTCTTCCACACCTGTAGCAAGCAAGTTGGCGTATGGCAATATACCGTCATCAGCGTGGACTAACCCATATTAATTGATTTTGAATTAATAGAGAAACTGTCAAGCTCTTTGGTATAGTTGCAGTTCCATACAGCCTTCGTTTAGACGAAAAATACTATATGCAAATGATAGAGCGAGTGATTTACCACCTCTATTATGCTACATCATATTTAGTAAATGCTTATCGGCTTCTGACAGAATGCCAACAAGTGTGGAGGTTGGGTCAATCAGTATGAGCTCGGTGGTGGGCAGCCATACGGATATACTAACGTGTCCTCTTTTCCCACTAAAAATAACCTGAAAGGAAAAATTACCATTTTTTTTCTAATGATTTAACTTTCATGTTTCAGCACAAAAATTTAGGAAGTCTGGGTTTATGATTGGATAGTGTACTTTTGTAGCAATCCTTCAACATTTGCTTAACTACAGTTCCTCTGATAAGAAGTAGGGAAAAATACAGTACAAATTATAAACAAGATTTATATATACATACATATTTTTATGAATATAAATAAATGAATATATGATTACATGCATATATATATATATATATAATTATATATACTATATATATATACATATATATATATATATAATGCGTAACATATGTACATATATATATACGCATACATTAATATATACACATATATATTTATTTATTTTTATGTATACTAAAATATATATATATATATATATATATATATATATAATATATATATATATATTTATATTTATATATGCATATATAACATGTATACACACATACATATATATATAATATATATATATATATATATATATATATATAATATATATATATATATATATATGTATATATATAATATATATGTATGTATAAATAAATATAATATATTATATAATAATATATATATAATATATATATACATATAAACATAATATATCATACATACATACATACATACATACATATACATCATACATACATACATACCATACATACATACATACATGCGCGCACTCACTCACTCCTCACTCACTCACTCACTCACTCACTCCCACTCACTCACTCACTCACTCACTCACTCACATCACTCACTCACTCACTCACTCACTCACTCACACACAACACACACACACACACACACCACACACACACACCACACACACACACACACACACACACACACACACACACACACACACACACACATGTATATGTATATGTATATGTATATGATATGTATATGTATATGTATATGTATAGTATATGTATATGTATATATATATATATATATATATATATATATATATATGTATTATATATATATATATATATTAATATATTATATATATATATATATATATATTATATATATATATATATATATATATATATATATATATATATATATATATAATATATATATATATATATATATATATATATATATATATATATATATATATATATATATATATATATATATATATATAACTATATTCCTATAGTATATTTTTCCCTTTTTATGTCCTGTTGCATTTGTTTTTTGCTTTACATAAATATTTTAGTCTCTTATACATTTCTTTCATTTACAGGGATGCCACAACAAACATGTGTTTCTCCACCCTTACAACCATGTAGCAGTTTAGCCAGTGTGTGCCAGGTGGCTCTGGAAAAGTTGTTGCTGCAGGCATTTTGTTTACTGGGCAAGCTGGAGGCCAAATCAAAGCCTGTGCGCCACATACGGGAGAATGGGGTGGTATCCTTCCTGTGCCAGAAAGAACGTGACATACCACTTGCTGAAATTCAGGCGTACCTGTCTTCCACAATGCCTATCAGCTACAGACAGGGAATGGTCGACAACATGCTTAATACACTCGCAACTCCAAGATTTGACAAGAACACATTGATTAGTAACATTGAGTTTAAATTTGAAATTCTGAATGCAGTTGTAGGTGCTTCCGAAATGAAGCAGGTATTAAAGAAGTTCTTTAAATGTATGTTGTTAGGATATGTGAAAAGTCTAGACCTTAGTGGCTTTTATAATTTTGGGAGTTGCTGGATTGCCAAGACAAGGAGAATCCTACATACATGGGATAAAATGTATGGAGGAGGTGAATATATCAAGGGCATTGAGTCAGCCAAAGTATGTACGGTTCAGCTAGAGTCATTATGGCATGATATGGTGCATGAATACAAAACAGTAGCAAATGCATCTGCAGTTGATTCAGCAAAGTATTTCCACCAGTTGACAAGAATCAACATTGACCACATTGCAAATGGTGAACTTATATGGGCAATAGGATGCAACTGTCCTGTCTTACAAGAACTAAGTATTTATGTAGACACATTAGACAGAAGCAAATACTCAGCTCACTTTGAAGAAGAATTTTTAGATGGTTTATCTGCATTGTATGGACATAGAAAGTATACTCAAACATCTTATAAAGGAAAACCAGTTGGATGCCCTAAGATTCGACGTATAATTATGCCGACACTTCAGATTCAGGAGAAAATGGAGAAATCTTGTGGCAAACTACTTTGTTACTTACACCATCTTGAAGAATTAATAAATGTTGGGACAACAGGTTCCATTGTTGCTATGTTTAAAGAGAAAGACTACAATTTCAGGCCACTATCACTCACTTATGTGGATGATGCTCGAGCTCCAGAGACTTTAGATGAAGTTTGCAGACATTTTGGTGTTGATGTAAAAAGATTTTTACCCAACGTTACCAGTATTAGACTGAGGAAGAATCATTGTGGAATGAGACAGTTGGTAAATTTTCCACTGTTAAAAAAATTAGAACTATTGACACTAGAAGATTCCGAGCTAGAGTTCGGCAATAACTTTACCCAATTAACTCATTTCAAAGGTAACTTCCGCTGGGATGAGAAGAAACTGGCTGCCTTCTCTCAGAAAGCTCCTCGCCTGGAAACAATATTCTTCCTGAGTGGCTCCTTGTTTAAACATAGGACCAAGAAGATGAGAGAGAAAATGTCTTTCCCCAAGGCACGTGTTGTTAAGTTTTACCAGCTGAAACACATTGATACTGATCCTGTCATAAACTTCTTGAAGAGCACCAGAGTCCTCACTCACTTATTCTTTGAAGATAATGAGAAGAGAATCAGAGATGAAAAACCTCCTATGTATGATGCAATAAACGACAAAGTCATTGCATCCGTCGCACCTTCCTTGAAGAACTTGGTTTGTTTTCATGCCCGCGTTCGAGGATTCCGTGGGGTTTGTAAGTTTTCTTTGACAGAAAAGAGTGTCCAGAGTCTACTTGCCAGCTGCCCAGATCTGGTTGATTTGGGAAACTTATTTCACTGGAATATTCCTTACCAACATGTTCTGGCCCTCAAGAAACAGGCAAAGGAGGGGAACTGGAAGATTGGTTTCACACCACCTGATGATGTGTAGATTGATATGCAAGGAAATCATTGAATTTTTAGACTATATTCTAACAAGAATAGAAAAAAACAAAAATAATACAGCCCATATGATTTCACTGAATTAGCCCCAGGTTTCTCAAGTTGACTTGTCCCTAGTTCTTGAGCCATCACTGGCTGCACAACCTTCCTTTTTTTTTTTACATAATTCAACTACAGGCTAAAGGCTGCTGTGCTGGCTTCAAAATGTTCATATGGTATAGCTGCAGAATAATGTTTAACAAATTTAGTGAATACTATTGAGCAAAGATCCTCATTGCCTGTGAAAATATTAGGAGGATTGGGGGTTCTACTTTCTAGGTTCCCAGCCAGAGACAGTTTGACCTGTGTCTAGCTTCAAAGATTGAAAGCCCTTGTTGTGTATGCTATTGAATGACAGAAAAGATTAGCTAATTTGCTGTGAAAAATTGTAAGACAGAGAGGTGTTACGGGTAATAATGCAGCACCCACAGAGAAGCATTTTTTAAATTTCTTTTCTTCATAAATTCAGATTTTTGGAAACGTTTTGCCATCTAGAAAATTGATAATAAAGCAAAACTGAATTTTGTATTCATCATTTATTGATATTGTCTTAGGATGGATGGTGGTGAATAGTTGATGTATGGCGAAGGAGTTGCTGCCCACATGTAAAGTCTTGTAGGGAAGAAAAGAAATACATGTATTTTACAATTATCCTGTATACTATGCTATAATTTCACAAATATCTATATTTATGCATTTATAGATGTTATATATGTAATTGCGTTTTGTATGTGTGAATGTCTATGCATTATGCGTGCATGAGTGAATGAGAGTGAGAATGACCGTGTGAGGGTGTGACTGTAAGGTTTTCCATCAGACTACAAACTAACCTCACCTTCACTGAATGTAAATCGGCAGTAAAGCTAGATAATGCTTGAATACATGATATTGCAGGGTATTCCATGCCTAGACTAAACTATGCTCATTGAGGGCAAAACCATATCGCAGCACCTTTATATGATGAGTTAAGAAAAGTCATTAGTAAAGTGGATCTTACCAACTTACCTCTGTTGAAAATGATGTTCTGTTATAGATAAACTTTAGCCTTTATTTTTGGTGTGGTAGGCCCTTCAGTTCATCAGTGCATATAACTGCAGTAGGCAATGCATTATATTTGTCCATATGAGAGAGACTGAATTAATATTACATTTTAGAGTCCCATTAGTATGTTTAAGTTTTTGAGCAGGAAATGTGTTAACAGAAAATATATATATGATGGGCGGTCTCCCAGGATATCCCTAGCATGAGCCACTAATAGACTGCATCGAGGAAGACTGTAAAACTAAATTACGATTATAAATCTAGTATGATTAGTTATGGCGTGCTGTAACTTTAATTCGAGCCATGCTTTGGATATGCCGAAAAACAGTTGCCAGTGAGGGTTGCGATAAATGCTCCAATCCAACCTGGAGGGGTTTAGGCAATCTGTGATATTTATGTAATTAATTACCTGGTGCAATGTGACTTATTGTCTAATACAGAGGAATAGCAATATATATTTTGTAAAGCAGAAGTTTGAAATAGTTTTAAATGTAATTCAAAACTGAATATTTGAAATTTGTTACACTGATTTTTTTTCCTGTTTCTTTTTATAGTATTAAGGACTGGTTTTACCTTTCACAATTGAATATTGATTAAATGTCTTGGACCATTTAATTACTTGTTGGGTGATTTTATGCTAATTTATTTTGTGTAAAATATTTATTTATAAATTATAGTTTGTTAAAGTACTTAATCACTAAGTACATTAAGAACTGCTATTTAATAGAAAATTTGTTTCCTTTGGATTCAGCGAGCTGTACAAACCATGAAATAATATCCATTAAAGTTTATTTTGGTTTGTGTAGTTTATACATATAATTTTAGTATTAGTAGTTATTTTTCACAGTGATTATAGTGTAAAAATTCTATGAAGAAGGAAAAGTTTTATATATTTTTTACTGATGTAACATAAAGGAACATTACTGTAAATAGTGTGTGCTGTTTGGCTGTGAAATTATACATATATCTTTATGCTCAAATGTTAATGGTACTACAAGTTCCTACTGTTTTGCAATTATTTGGTCATGAAATGGAACAAATAAAGCTTTTGATAACTTTTTACTTGTTATTTTCTAATCCAAAAACATCATTCATTTTATTATACAGAAACTGATAAAGTGAATGTAACAATAACAAAAAAAATCTATGGAGAATGAAGCACTAAAACTTATAATAAAAGTTTAGATGAATCAGAAGTATATCTGATCTTGCTACGAATATTTTTGTTTCTATTTTCTTCATCTTTTTAAAACATTCCAGTTTGTGTTTTTATTTTTTAGAGAAGCTTAGATACTGTGAGAAATATTTAATTTCACTTACAGTCCACAATTAAGCTTAATAATTAAGATGTTTACCTAAAAAAGGGTATACTGGGAATACACATGCAGTGATTTCTAACTCCAAAATTGTATAAAAATTATTATATGGCTACTATGCAGACATGAAATCCAGTCAAACTGTTTTTGCCTTTGCGTGTTTCCTCTGATTGAAACTACAAAGCAAAGGGCTGATGCTTACAAGACGAGATGATGTGAATGACATCATGACGTGGAGTTCATTCTGGAGAGCTGGACTGTAATTAGTGCGACCTGTCTATGGTGTATGTTATGCTTGCACTTGGAACTTTAGTTTTTTATACTAGGTAGTCAAACCTACATGCATCTGTACTTATATCTTGTACCACCACTGCAAAATTTCAGCTTTTTGAAAACAATTGATCCAAAGTTGTGAGGTAGTATCTTTTTGATGGTGCATTTCTGGTCACACAAGATTCAATAAGAGGGTAAAATATATATATATATAGAAGTGACTAAACTGGAACATTACAGAAAGAGGAAAGAAAATTTGGAAAAACTATAGAGGTAAAGTAATTAGTAAACTGAAAGAAAACTGTAAACTGCACACACTGAATTAAACAAAAAAAGTAAACTCTTGTTCCGGAACTGAATGCAAAACAATCAGGAAAGATGTTTGAAAAATGAGAGGTGAGGGAAAGTAATATATAATTATTTGGGCATAAACTTTTCTTAAACATCAACATCAGACCTATTTGCAAAGATATTTATAGTGACTTTTAATAAGCAAAGCAATTCATCATATATTGACAGTCATGTCACCAATATTGCCAGACTAACTTTTTTTTTTTCCTTTCTTTCTTATACTTATATATCATTATTCATTTTCATCTTCATCTTCATCATCTTATGATCATCATCATCATCATCATCATCATTTTTCTTCTTCCTTTTCCTCTTCTTCTTCAGCTTCATCAGCATCTTCTTCTTTCTCCTTCTCCTTCTTCCCAATCACCCTCTCCTAATCAGTAATAACTCAGACATCTCAAGACATTTCAAGTGACTTCTGACATGTCTTCCGGATGTTCAGGTTCATCCATTTGCAAAACCCTGGCTCTCTTTAGCAGCATGTAGACCTTGCACCCACACATTCCCAGGAACGATTTTAATGACCATACTATGACCATGCTTTTCATCTTCATCTGAATGGTGTGTGTGTGTGTGTGTGTGTGTGTGTGTGTGTGTGTTGTGTGTGTGTGTGTGCATACATACTTACACAGACAGACAGACACACACACCCAAACACAAAACACAAACACACACACACACAAAAGCTAATGCACACACACCACACACACCACACACACACCACACACACACACACACACAACACACACACACAACACACACACACACACACACACACACACACACAACACACACACACACACGCATGGGAGGGTGGGAGGGAGGGAGGGAGGGAGAGAGAGAGAGAGAGAGAGAGAGAAGAGAGAGAGAGAGAGAGAGAGAGAGAGAGAGAGAGAGAGAGAGAGAGAGAGAGAGAGAGAGAGAGAGAGAGAGAGAGAGAGAGAGAGAGAGAGTGAGTGAGTTAAGAGAGAAGAAGGAGAGAGAGGGGCAGAAAGAGAGATTGAGAAACAGAGAGAAGGGTGGGTGACCGGAAGGAAGAGG